TTATTATTATGATTATTCTTTTCATTATCAATATTATTATTATAATACCCATCTCTTCTCATTTAATAGACACATGACGGGGAGAAGACTGTCGAGCAAATATCAACTATCTGGTGTAATGAAGAATCCTCTGAACACAAACCTGTAAATCTGCCCAGTGATACATGCAAAGTGCCTGCCCTCCCCCAACACCTCCCTCCTCTCCCCTCCCCTTTTATATTCTCCTCTCCCCTCTTACCCCTCCTCTTCTCTCTTAGCCCCTCCTCTCCATTTTTATCCCCTCCTTTCTTCTCCTTTTTTATCCTCTCCTCTCACCTCTTATTCCTTCCTCTTCTCTCTTATCCCTTCCTCTCCCCTGTCCCCTTCTTCTCTTGCATCCCTTTCTCTTGCATCACCTCTTCTCGCCTCCCCCCCTCTCCCCTCTTACCCCTTCTCCTCCCCTTCCCTCCCCACGACTCTTCACCTTCCTCCCTCCTCTAATCCTCTCCATTCCCCTCTCCTCTCTCCCCAATTCCCTCGCCTCTTCCCACACCGCGAATAAATTGGCTCCGTGTAACTATCGCCTCTTGGGTCAAGGATTGTCTGCGTATAGTTTAATTGGCCTTTCAATATTATCAACTTAGAAGATCAGCAATAGTGCTGCAAGGTCAGCGGAAAGTTAGTCGAGACTATAAAAAATGTGATTATAACTGGAGTTATTAATATAAAAAAAGAAGTAGAAATAGTAATTTTCTCCATTGGTATACAATCCTCAAGGTTATTCATTGTTTAGAAGAAAACAGAAAATTGTCTATGAAGGAGAAACTGTTTTTTCATGATAAATTTGGCATTCTAGATGATGGGTATGACGATGAGGAGGAGGAAAAGAGAAGGAGGAGAAGGAGGAGGAGGGGAAGGAGGAGCCGGAGTAGGAGTAGAATGAGGAATAGGAGGAGGAGGAGGAGGCAGAGGAGGCGAAGTACGACGAGGAAAAGAAAGGAGGAGGAGGAGGAGTAGTAGGATGAAGAGGAGGAGAAGGAAGAAAAGTAGGAGAAGGAGGAGGACGAGCAGTAGCAGCAGCAATTGCAAAATGAAGGGGAATGGAGAAAACGAGACGAAGACAAATAGGAGGAGGAGCAGGAGGGGTAGGAGGAGGGGAGAGTGGGAGAAGAAGGATGAGGAGCATGAGGGGCAGGAGGAAGGGAGTGGAAAAGAGAAGAAGGAGCAGGAATAGCAGCAGTAGAAGAACATTGAAACGTTAAATACAGCAGCTTACCAGCAGTCTGTTAATGTGGCGATTTCGTCTGGAGGAGGGACAAATATACCAATGGTGCCTGGGTGATTCTTTTCAGTGATGGGATCTAGAAAAGAGAAAGTCGTCAGTTTTTGATTGTATTTTACTGTTGCTTACTTTTTAAAGTTACTTTGTAGTTTATTGTTGTCGTTTGATGTAATCGGTGATGATGTACTTTGGACAGGAAAAAACCCTGCACACCAGTAAGGCGACATTTTAACAGCCCTGGACACGGTTATACCGTACACATACACGTATTCAAGTATTGAGATCCTAAGGAATTTTACAAAAAAACGTTACAGTTGAGAGGATCCACAAGGGTAACGTTTCCACTAAACAAACGCTTGCATTCGAATCGACGAACCTCGTTTAAAGATTTGAAGCAATCACACATATACACATATCACACACACACACACACACACACACACACACTCACACACACACACACACAGACACACACTCACACA